TGAACACTGGACACACACACTTATACACACTTACACACACACTTACACACATTCACACTTACACACACTTACACTTACACACTTACATACTTACACACTTACACACACTCACACACACTCACACACACTTACACACACTCACACACACTCACACACACTTACACACTTACACACACTCACACTTACACACACTCACACTTACACACACTTACACACACTTACACACACTCACACACACTCACACATGAGCACTGAAACACCAGCAGTGACTGCCATCTGTTGGCCGCTTGTGCAAGGTGCGTCCGGAGGTGGGGGGAAGTGCTGTTAGCGAGCTTCTATTAAGGTCGTCGTGGTTAATCTGTGCGTGGACAGTGGTGGTGGTGGCGGCGGTGGTGGCTGTGGTGGTGGTGGTGTCAGCTTTGAAACTAGAGTATTGGATCAGGGCAGTTTGTTTTCTTGCCTATTATAATTCATTGCACTAATTTGGTCTCCTCGTTTCAGACTGAGCCGACCTAGGCGAGGATAAATGTGACACAAGCTCCCCGGTGAACTAAAATTAAATGCGCTTATTTTAATGAATTATAATCGCTGGCGTGGCCGGGTGGCTCAGAGGTGAGATCTCGTTTCGCCAGCACCCCTGAGAGCCTGGGTTCGTATCCAGGTCGGAGCCGCCAGTGTTTGAAAGCAGCTTTTCAAGCGTAGCCAGTTGATGTTCTCAAGCCTCGCTCGCCAAATAACTGCACAATCATTTTGGTTCAGCACCGGATTTGGCAGCAATTATTATCGGTTGGTTGCCACGAGACGAAAGTTGATTTCGGTGGCAGGATGGATGGGCAGGTGCTGCCTCCTACTGTGGCTTTATCAGACTGACATTCGCCAAATAAGAACTATCCTTAACATGAACAAAATATGTATTAGGCGACGTTTCGGGCAATGGCCCTGCTTCATAGCAGAGGTAACTTGACTTGAACCTCAGAAGTACTTCTGTGAAATCCGCTTCCGTGGGTCGTTCTCACAACACGGGATGACAGTGGCTTCGACGCGAGAAGATTGAGACCAGATGGCACAATCGGCGTGAATTTCGTGCGAATTTTTTTTTTATTTTAAACGAACGAATTGAAACAAACGAACGTCGCCACCAAGAGTCGTCTGGATTCATGGCGTCCGTGGCTAATAATGACATCGCTGTTAATCTCGAGCGTAATTACTCAGACGCGATATCGACTTTCTCGACTTCGCCAGGGCGCGTCGTTAATGTTTAATATTTGTCCGCCCCTAATTAATGCAATTGCCGTAAGAAGCAATTACGCGGGGAACAATTCACACTGATTGCTTAATTAGGGCGCCCGGGCGAGTTGCGGGCCGCAGTCGATTCGTCAGAGTCGGACCGAGGTTGCGTCAACACAATTGAGTTGTCCGTGTGTCATCGCTGTCAACCCCTTATCAGCTCTGCCCTACCTTATTACAGACCAATTCAGATCTTATTGGTCACCCCGTGCCGCTTATAAATCGTAACGTTCATCCTACAAAGTCCCATCACAAGAGAGAAACACAAACAAATAGACGATTATCTGAGTCTCCGCTAGGTCTACTCAGCCTCAAATGAGTACATGGTGCGGTGTGTAAACATCGCCACGAGGGAGACAAAGGCGATCGGGCGTGGCGCAGGCCACTCACCCCCTCGTGTGCCGTGCCGGTCTTCATATGTGCTGCTCGCTAACAGCACTTGCCCCAACAGTCTGTTAAGGCTATACGGCGGATCTTTGTTTGTTTGTAGCTGTTAGCGCGCTGGTTGCGAACCCGGCCACCCGAGTTCGATTCCCGCTCACGGCCAACACCGGTGACGATTATCTGAACCGGTCCTGGGCCTCCCCCTAGGTCGACTCAGCCTCAAATGAGTTACCTGTTCAGGTGTGCGCCACACGAGGCAGCGTTACGGGTGAGGCTCTATCACGCAGGCCTCTTAGCCGCACTCATCGTGCACTCGAGGGGGGCAACATGTCGACGTGACAACGCGGAGTTTCCAACTTCGTCTAACTCTGCCACTTCCGCCGCTCATACGAGGACCTCTTTGTCACTCGGCCGACACGCACGGCGATGTTTCGCGTTGCCAATTGTATGACGCCGAGGCGTTCGTGTTACCGCGTGTGAGTGTTTTTTTAAAAGTCCTATTCGGTCCTCGGTAAGGTAAGGATTCCCCACATTTGCCCCACGTCGGCTAAGCAAGGCAAGGTGGGGGGGGGGGGGCCTGGGGGATTGAAGGGCGGGGAGGGGCGAAGGGTCGCCTGCTCGCTTGTCCTCAAGAGCAAGGGCCGCCCAGAGGTGTTTACGTGGAGGCTCGAGGCAGAATGTCGCGTGGGTCTCCTTATTCCGCCATCCTCGGGGCCGTTACGGGGACCTCTTGTGTGCGAAGCCCCGGGGCAAGTTGCCACCCTTTGCGCTCCCAACCCCCCACCACACCTCCTCTGGGCGGCCCCGCTCAGAGGCACGCGCAGCTGAGCCCCGTGATGCCTTCGTCTCGTCCGAGCACCGTTCTCCCCGTCCGTCTCGTAGTAGGGGGCGCACATCGGAGCTAACGCGTCCGCTACGCAGCACGGCGACTGCGCGGGACCCGCGCTCGTCCCGTGGAGTCGCAGGTGGAGACGGCAGCCCGAGCCGCCGCCTTCGGGGAAACGCGCACGGCGCACGGCACCGGCACCGCGCACGGCACCGGCACCGCGCACGGCACCGGCCCCGCGCACGGCACCGGCGCCGCGCACGGCACCGGCCCCGCGCACGGCACCGGCACCGCGCACGGCACCGGCCCCGCGCACGGCACCGGCCCCGAGCACGGCACCGGCGCCGCGCACGGCACCGGCGCCACGCACGGCACCGGCCCCGCGCACGGCACCGGCCCCGAGCACGGCACCGGCCCCGCGCACGGCACCGGCGCCGCGCACGGCACCGGCGCCACGCACGACCGCGTGGTTGGTTGGGCGGTGCGGCCCCGGCTGGCAGGGAGAGGCGCAAAGCCCCGTGGCACCGCGTGGCGCTGTAGCCGCGGGGAGCGACGATCTCAGTCGCTCCAGCCGAGCTCTTCCAAGTCCACGGAGAACGGCGGAGGGCGAGGACACGGGGGCGATGGAGGAGCTGCTGGTGGTGGATGTGGTGGTGGTAGTAGTGGTTGTAGTGGTGGTTGTAGTGGTGGTTGTAGTGGTAGTGGTGGTGGTGGATGTGCTGGTTGGAGGGAGCGAGGGTGGCGAGAGGGAGTCACGTTGAGACGAGCCAAGTGGGGTCCTGGGTCACATCGTCGTGATTGATCATCGACTATTATCGATCCACTGGTGCAGTGGTTCTTCACCTTTACCTGCAGCATTGCAACCTTTTCGTTCTCAATCGTAAAAACGAAGTATAGCGTTAATACACACATAGGTTTAATGAAACAAAGTAGCTGTAATTACGTGTCCTTGCTTAATTTGTTGCGACGATTTACCTTCTAAAAAATCTAACCATGTCACGCATCCCCAGGGGGGTGCGCTCACCCCAGGTGAAGAACGACTGCACGAGAGGATTCATCAGAACGATGCCAAGTTGTAACGCGTCGCCGCTGCACAGAGTTCGATCTCTCTCTCGTCTCTTTCTCGAGATAAAGACGGACTTAAAAGCGCGCAGAAGAGCCGCAGACGATAGGGGAAGGCCGCAGCAGCAGCAGCCACGCGCCGAGCCAGCGCCAAATTTCCCTTAAAGCTTTGCGGTCCTCTATATATTAAGGTGTTATCGCGACATTAATGAGCGTTTAAAACGTGGGTGGTAACTGGGGCAACCGGAGAACACCCGCGCGTGCGGGGGGTGCAACATCACCAATTGCAGACGGAACGGTTGGAAGGCCACATTTGCCCTAACGCCTTCTCCTGTGGCAAGCCAGGGTACGTGGCACATCCTCCATGTCCACGGAGCAGGAAGAGAGGAGTCTCGCAACATGAAGTCCTTCCCAAGCCGTCGCCACCCATCACCGGTCCAGTTCCAGTTGCTGCTACGATCCACGCGAGCTCATGGTCTAAGCTCGACTCTGAGCGCGGGTGATTGTCCGGCACGCGTTACGTCACCACCAGTTTGTGGGTCCTGCTCCCAAGCCCCTTGACCTGAATGTTGAATAAGTGATTCATTCATTCCTAGATTTCTTGTTCAATCATTGTACTTGCACTGCCTGCTTAAGCGTGCGACCCATTTGTTCGTCGTTTCGTCAGTTTCATTCATTATTCCATTTATTTATTCGTTGTCAAGCACGTATTGATGAATTCGTTCTTGCATCAGTTCATGGTTCCATTCATTGCCTAAATTCACGTTTCATTCATTTTCCTCGTACTTCCAGTAATTCATTTACCCATCGTGTTATCCATTATTTGCTCACTCACTGTTGCACTCGCGAATTTCATTTAATAATTCGTTTCATTCACTTTAAGCCATTCGATGAAATATTTTTTTAACTAATTAATTACGTGTTTTCATTCGTGGTTTAATGCATTTATTTATTCAAAACATCATTCATTAATTGTTCGTTTCATTCAATGAAAGGTTCATTCATTGAATGTTTTTTCCAGGAGTGTCTTCAATAATTAATCTTTTTTTATTGATTCATTGCAAGTTTAATAACAGCAATGGCAAGGTCAAAAGGTCATCGCCGCCGATGCTGTTGAGACCATCACACATCTACGCCATTGCTCTTTCTTCTGCCAGATCCCACTGCTGTTTAAAAGTCGGCACCATCCTTCACAGTCCACTCTTTAACCGACTCATCATCAATCCAGCAGTGGATCGATCACTGGCTGGTGATGGACGTGATCAGCGACACCGGGGGGAGCGGGTAGCTTGGGAAGGACACGAGGGAGGGTTGTGTCGTGAATGTGCGCAAATGTGCCGGCGTGGCTGAACGAATGGAACGAGACGTTTTGCGTCGATTTTCGTTCGTCATCATCGTCGCAGTACCTGTACATTGTTACATACGAGAAGTGACGTAATGCAATGATCCATTATACTTTATTTTTTCTTTAAATACACACAAACCACAACATCCAGAAAACATTTCCGCATTTTTTGGCAAAGCCAATACTGTCAGAGCAAGATAGCCACCGATGGCCGTGTAAAATGTTTACCGCCTCGTATATAAATGTCTCGTATAAAATGACACCCGTAATAAAAAAAAACTCTAGTAAGACATCAAGTGTTCGTAACATTTCGCTTCACAATTGGACAAGCACTGAGACCACCAATGATCAATAATGCGATCAAATTCATGTTGACAGATCTTTACGAGTGAAAGGATATCGGGTTAGGATGGAACAACTTCATGAGACTAGCAGATTTACGGCTCCATAATAGCACCAACGGTGGAGCAGTGGCACAGTGGTTGGCGCACTGCACTATGAACTCGGCAACTTGATTTCAATTCCCAGCCACGGTTAACATCAGCGGCGAGTGACGTCTGAACCAGTCATGGGTCACTCTCTCCCATTCACCGTGTACTGTTGAAGTACGGCACGGTTAGCCCGCATGACTGAATGTTTCCTAGGGAGGCCTTCATCCAGCGGTGGATTGCCAAAGGATTGTAAAATACTATTAGCACCAAGCGCACGCAATGTTTGCTCCAAATTCTACACGCAACCATATTCCCTGCAAATAAATTACTGGAGAGGAAAACTCAAGTAATGCAACGGTTCTTTTAGCGACACCTGTGATTAGCAGTCATTGGCCATCAGCTGGCTACAGGTCACAGCAATGGTGACGAACAGACAGATTGATACGATTCATCGTTTAAAAATCGGTTCTTAATGCTCATGATAAAAGGTGATAAGAAAAAGTTCGGCCCTGCGATTGCTTGCTGCCTCCACAGCTGGCAGGACGGCCTCAACCAGAGTGAGCTCTAGAGAGCCCCTCGAGAGGGTGTTTTGGCCTACTCTTCCACATTGGCCAGAGGTCTTGGAAGCGATGGAAGTACCCACAATTTAGTCCATCGCACGCGAACTGCGACTAAGTGTGGTCTACCCATTCCTATGATACACCCATCTACTCAGATGTGTAAGAGTATATAAAGTACAATTCATACAAATTGTATGCAACCGGTGCATATTACACACACACAGGATAACGAAGCAAATGAGACATGCAAATAACGGAAGGAGACATGTAAAAAAAACGAGACGAGCAAAATAATTGATTCCTCAACCAAACCGCGACCCCCAAATTGCAACGAATCGCAAGGAATCGTGGGAAGCGGAGGAGGGTTGGTGAATGAGGATGTGCCCTTGGTGAGTTAGTGTTACAGTAAACGTGTTCAGGCGAGACAATTAAACTACAAACACACAAACAATGAACTACAAACACACAATGTGTCGTCAGGGCCATTGCCGTTTGACGGCACGATGCAAGATGGCACCATCGGAATTAATTTGGTGAAAAAGACCTTTTAAAAAAGTTTAATTTTTCTAACGGATGCACGCTTCATAATCTTGACATAATAATATTCCTTAACGCACAACGACACAGGCCAGCGTCCCCACACAAACTTGAAAACCAACATGCTCGTTCAACGCGAGCGCGACGTGCAACACGACAGCACGCAATCGTGAAGACGGAAAGACGGCGGATTGGTAAACGTAGCGTCCATCCCACACTCATCATGAACGCGGGAAACCCGCCCGACGAGTCACGGCCAGCATGACGCGGCTGGTGATGCTGATGACGTCATCGAGCCCCACCCTCCATATGCCTCCAGTTCAGTGGCACGCCCTCCGATTAGCACTGTCGGCTAGGTGCGGTGCGAAAGAAGTTCATCGTAGAACTGAGAGTGAGTGGAGTCATGTAACTAAGAATGGAATACTTAAACAGCGTCGCGATGACAACAAAGTCGCCACGGGTTGCCAGTTCGATAACTCGACTAATCGGACGGCACATGAAACACAGTTGGGAAAATAAGCCTCACCACTGTTCCCACGTGTGCCGCTGGACAGGAAGTGATGGGCGGGGTTTGGTGACGTCATCGGCATGATCAGCCGCGTCACGCTTGGGCACGGCCGGCCAGTCGGGCGGTTTTCCCCGGCATTTCTGAAAGCGCGCTTTGACCCCCACCACCCCCAACCCCCCGTGACGTACGAACAGACACACGGGCAGACGTGCTAGCGGTAGTCGGCGCGAAGTTGCCACATCCCCAGGCCCGTGGAGTCGCGCTCGAACGTGCACAGGCTGCGCAGGAGCTCGCGGAAGACGGGCGAGTGCTCGGGCGGCACGCGCTGCTCGAACGTGTGCAGCAGCTCCTGGGTGCTCGCCCGGCCGTCCTCGGCGCCGCCAAATGCCACGAACGTGCGCAGGTCCGACAGCAGCTCGGAGAACTCACTCGGTGGCAGAGAGGAGGAGGGCACCTGCGGCAGATGAGCGGGGTAAGAGGAAGGGGGGTGGATCGGGTGATACGGGCGGTTGACAATCGTAATTTGTGCAATGTGCAACGGTCTCAATCGAACTTAACCCAGTACAGAAATAAACCTGGGGAGACCCGGACGTAAGGGTGCTGCGAGCGATATAAACGAGCGGCAAACATTCGTCACCTGGCTCTGCTCATCCTCTCCGTCCTCCGTGGACTCGAGTGCCCGCGCCAGCAGCAGATGGTTCCGCGTGCGCATGCGAGCCAGCACTGTCGTGGACACGGGGTGCAGGGTGGACTCCAGGTTGCCCAGGCTGCTGGGGGCATCACTCGCGTTGCTCCAGCCAATGATGCCACCGCTACTACTGCTGGTGCCGCCACCGCTACCGCTTGCAGCTCCTTCATCCTTTGTTCGTTCCGGCTTCTTGCCGAACCGTGGAGTCTGCGAGCTCGTGGGCACCGGGGAGTCCTTGGGTACAGCTTGCACATCCTGGTAGTTCACGTGCATGATAAAGGAATAACAAGTCATCCGAGCAAGCCCGCGCAAGATGGTTCTCCCATTTAATTCTTGCTTTATTGCGACTTCACGAGTCCTGAACTGCGATTCCGCCATCTCAAGATCCGGCTCCTAGGCGTAAGCTGCCCAGCGTGCTAACGAGAGAGAGAGCTACGGCTCTGGTAGGCCTCTACGATGATTGTAACCTCTAACCTTCCGATTTGGAAGTTGTGAACCGACGCTTTAACACGCCACACAAATGGGCCACCAAAATAAACTTGACTCCATTGAAACTGCCGTGTGGGTAGACGCGACTGTACGACTGTAGATGAAGAAGCAAGGGAGTGGCAATCGTTCGGCCCAGGAAATCAATCTCGCAAGATAGGACTGTGTAAACTATAGGGTTATGTAGCCCAGCAAACAGCCGATGACACCTGTTATTATTCCTGATAATCGCCTACCCAAGCACTACCACAGCTCACCCGTGCTTAGATTCCAGAGAACTGACAGGATTTCAGATTGTTAGCGGGGGGGGGGGGGGGGGGGGTAGTGTGGCAAAAAGCATTGTTGTACAGTATGACTATGCTCCAACGTCTACGCTTACCACCTTCACCGCGCTGCTCATGCCCGGCGTAAAGAGGCGCCCTCATCCTGACAAAAGGGGCCGAGCGCAAGTACCAAGTGTGGCGATAGGGGCAACTTCACGCAAGAGCCACTCACCCTGCACTTCTGTGATTGTGGTTTAGCGGCCTGGGCTGCCACCAACGGCAGGGGCTTCTTCCTCTGCCCAAACCTTGAGATGTGATAACAAAACAAACACCGATGTCAATAACCGGCCGAGCAACATCCGCACGACACAACAATGCGCCGAGCGCCGACGGGAAGCCGTTCAACAGTTGCCGAGGTCACCCAGGACTCCGATGACTTCCGCCGATTAAACATCGTGTGGGTCAGGGCAAGTTGGCGCGCGAAGCCACTGGGGGCGGCGTGTCGTTGACCGACCTCGCTTGGGGCCGCGGCGGCGGCGGCGCCGCGCTTGCCGATCGGTAGTGCCGGCGCGACTGGCGGAGCGCATGCATCGCATCGCGAGCCACCCGCGTCGCCTCCGCCTCCACCAGCGCGAAGTCCGGCCGTGACGAGTTCATGATCGCGTCGTGCTGCATCGCGCTGTGGATTCCTGCGCAGGGGGGGGGGCGGGGGGGCGGGGGGGGCGGGGGGGCGGGGGGGCGGGGGGGCGGGGGTACGACCGGGCACGAGCGTCAAGACTCGACGCTCCCAGGTGGCCGGGCGGCTCGGTGGTCAGGCAGACCGCGCTGGCGTTGCTAAGATCCTGGGGGCTCAAATCCGAGGTTTCAGCTGCCCAACCGCGTTTAAACCGGGTTCTTAAATGAAACGAGTTACGAGGAGCGCATCTTCGACACGCCCAGCGCAAACAGTGTTCGTCGCACGCGCAGTACCAGTGCACACGCGTGGCAACCAAAACACGTGGAGAAAAGGCGACGGTGCGAGTTCTAACTTCGTGGAGAAAGACGCGGGCGTGTGGCGTCCATACCCGACTTCTTGAAGAGCTTCTCCAGAACGTAGTCGTCGGTCTTCCTGCGGTCCTCTCGCTCCTCCTTGTCTCCGCCTGCTGCCGAGGCCCCCTTGAACTCCGCATGCCTCACCAGGTGAGGAATTCGCTCCCCCTCAAAGCGAACGCCCTTCCGCTTCTTCTTCGACCTCCCGTCGCCCTCGTCCCCGTGCGCGTGTCGCCCGCGCTCCGCTTTCCGCGCCCTCCACGTGCTTCTGCTTCTCCCTGCGCTTGCGGTGAGCGGTGACGTCACCGCCAGCGCCGCTACCGCCACCGCCGCCAGCCGTGGAGTCGCTACCGCCGGAAGCAAGGCGCGCCGCCAATCGTCGCGCCATTTCCCGCCATGCCTTCATCTTGTCCTCCGACACCACCGAGGAATCTTCTTTGGCATCTCCTCCCGGAGGCGTCTCGCTCGTCGTTGCATCGCCGCGCTCAGTGGTTCTCCCTTCCGGCGCTAGCTGCACCGCACCCGCGGGACCGGCCTCTCCACCCCCGCCGTCTCCGCCTCCGTTCATAGACGGCAAAGGAGTCTCCCCCAATCCCGGGCTCGGCTTCGCTCGGTCGGCTTTGTCGGAATCTTTGAGGCCAACGCCGTTTGTCGCGTCCGCGTCGATGACGAGGTCTCGGGGAGGGGGCGCCGCCTCGCGAGGGTTCGATCGCCGGGGAGCGGCGGAGGCTGACGAGGAGGAACCTGGAGGACGCCGCTGGGCGGAGCGGTGCGGTTTGTCCGGTCTGGGCACGGCGGCGTGTGGGCCGTGACGCTCGCCGGAGGAAGCGTGCGGCGGGCGATGCGGTTTGATCGGGACTCGCACGTCCGAGCCAGTGCCTGCGGCGCAGAAACAGAACAGGACGTCGCGGCGCCAGCTTGGCTGTCCACAGCACACACAGCGACGTGCACAGCACGCCGGGTTGGTGGCGCATTGCGTGCATGACCCAATTTGTTTTTGTAACTGTGAGTAACATTTAATTTCAACTTGTGATAATGGGCACGGCGTACTTTGCCGAACGACTTAAGTTCACATCGCAGAACAAACAAGTGAGGCTGAATCTCGGCGGCCTGGTGGCGCAGAGGTCACAGCGCTAAGCTGGTACCTGTTGAGAGCCTGGGTTTTAAATCCAGGCAACTGCCTCGTGATTAAACTGGGTTATCAAGTGTAGTGAGTTGCTGATGGTTTAATCCCGGTTTACCAATGACAGCTAAACTATTCAAATTAAAAAAACATCGAGTTTACTGTCATACTATAAATGCTATTTTGTAGCAGCAGGGCAGATGTGAAAGTTCTGCCCCCACTGCGGATCAGAGATCACTTGAAGAGAACTTGGAGGTATCTCTGTGATATTTGTTTCCGCAGGCCGTTACATAACATGAGGGGTTGCACTGTTCTTCGAGAACAACATGACATTGAATTACAACTGGGAAATACAAACAAAAACCACAATCATTATACTTAACTAATTGAACCACGATGGCAAAAGTCATCACGATGCACTTAATCCCGAGGGAAGCGTTACGCAGCCTAATCACCGCCTCTATCCAAACGCGGAACGACGATCACATTGCTCACGCGGGCGATGACAACAACCCATCGCTAAACGACGAGGATGGCTCTTGTCGTCGTCGTCGTCACGGACCTGCAAAGAGGGCACTGGTCTCGGTGCTCTGCGACGAGTCGGGGTCGGTGAGAGCGAAGAGCTCGAAGAGGTCATTGGCTTTGAAGAATCGCTGCTGCCTGGGGTCCTTCAGCACGCGGTTCGTCAAGAACTGCTTGAAGATTTGCCTGATGGTCATCGGGAGCAAAAAAAACACAAAGCGTGCGTGTTGAGCGTGGGGGTGTATGTTTGCATGTGCATCCCGTGTGCGTGTGACCGAGTGTGCGGTGACAACCATTCCCTCGTACGCTATCCCAGCCTTAATGGGTGCTCGTTAAGAGCACTTGACCCAGCAGTCTGTTGTAGGCTATGCAGGCGACCTTTGTCTTGTTTGCATATGCTCATGTGTATTTTTTGCCTTCGTATATGCTTTTGCATGTGTATGTGTGTGTTCTCTGCACTCGCACACATTGTGCGCGTCAACAATTGCATTATCATAATACAATTCTCCATAGATTCAACAGTCCACTTGCTGTACTGGCATCTCCTGATCATATTTCAGCCCGGCAAGTGCGGGAATTTACAAATCCATACGTGATCTACCGACCTTTGCATCCAAAACAATGGATTGCAGGCGTGGACGACCAACTGAAGGGGACTTGAGCTGACGAACTCGCAAAGATGAGTTCAATACTGGACCGAGTTAGCGACCAGGAAATGATCACGTGACTGCTAGCGGCTGCACCTGTGGTAGATCTTTTCCTCGATGGTGCCAGCCGACACGAGGCGGTAGATGGTGACCTGGCGCAACTGCCCGATGCGCCAGGCTCTCTCGCGGGCCTGCAGATAAACAACAAAGACAAAGATCCCCCCTTAAGCCTTAACAGACTTTTTGGGCAAGTGCTGTTAGCAAGCACCTATGAAAGCCGGCACGGCTCATGAAGGGGACCAGTTCAGATAATTGTAACTGGTGTCGGTAGTGAGCGGGAATCAAACTCGGTCCGCCGAGTTTGTCGCGCAGTGCGCTAACCGTTGCACCACCGCTCCCAACTGCACGTAAACAACACACGCACACACACAAAGACAAACCCCCATATAGACCGATGGGATATTGCTGCCCACCAGCACCCAAGTGCAGATGTTTACACATCACACGACTGGGCTCATCTCAGGCTTCGTCAACTCAGAGGAGATACCACTTGCCAAATATGTTACCCATGGATGGGAATTTAACTCGGGTCAATATGTTTCAGACCAAGGGGGTCAGCAGAGGAGAAAAAAACAACCTCCACGCACACACTCAGCCTCTAACGCCCACGGTCTCATCTCGGCACCTTCCTGCAGCAGATACATCCTACACAGTATTGGTAATATAAGGGAGAAGCATGGGTTAGATTAAATCGGCAGTAGTTTCACATTGCGGTTGTTTACCCAGGAAACCCACGAAAATCTTTTTTTTAAGTTGGGTAAAAGCAGGCGATGGGTGCTGCGTAGATTCCAATCGAATGATTTGCAGGGCGATTCTTTTAAATGTGGAATATTTTTCATTCATGACGCCGGGAAACACACCATTCCACTGTGAGGCCCATAGCACGCATGGTGATGGTTATTACACGGCCACAGCAGTAATCGGAGCGGCCGCTGGATTCCGAAACGTGAGCCTTCCCCACACCATGATAATAGGTTTTTCCCCTTTTTTCTGGCAACAAAACAGGTGCTAAGATTTTAAACACCAAACTGAAACCTTTTACAAGGAATCATGTCTGCATTAACCACAATGCTTGTGGTCAGAATGCAAAATAAAAACACACTCTGATAATATATGCATTGTCCTTGAAACTGATTGGTCCACACCAGAGACGGCTTTCTTTTGAGCCTCGTCTCAAACGGTGTTAGACCAGAGGACGCCAAAAGGCGTGCTCTGGTCTAACGCACACACCAGTAGTATAAATAAAACACAAGTTTAAGTATGAATACAATCTTACATGCTCTTATAAAATATTAAGTTTGTTTGATTTTAAACCTGTAATTGTGGAATGCTTTGATCTCGTCTGCCCGCCGATTTGCCCCTTGTAAACGAGCTTCTTAGCTCAATGGGCTTTACTCAGGAAGTAAACTTGAGAATCCGACCAAGGAGCAGCAGCAGCGTGGCTAAAGAGTGGATGGGGCAGGGGGGGTTGTGGTGACGAGGGAGCGCACGTACCTGAGTGTCGGTGCTTGGGTTCCAGTCGGGGTCGAAGATGATGACGCGGTTCGCCCCCGTCAGGTTCACGCCGATGCCCCCGACGTGCGTCGTCAGCAGGAACATGAACATTGACTCGTCCTGCAAGATTCAATAAAAAAAAAATATATGTGTCACATGAAATGCGTTTTTTTTTAAACGCTTTCCCAAACAAAACTTTGTTTTAGAAATTATTCAATCTTTCATTTAGCAGCATGGAAGGCGGCAATCAACGTTGCCTGGTTTTCTTTCGGGAATAAGGACTTTATTGTAACGCAACTCCGTATTCAAATTGCGATCGTAAGGGATCATCTTATCAGAGTTAATGTCCCCCGCTCCCCATTAGGCACAGACAGATAACGTGAATGCATAATCGCCTTAGAACCTGAGGAAACGTTCAAACCCCGTGAAACAAAAGGAACACACATGTACACGCGTGAGCTAAAAAACGCAAACATGAAGCAAATCGCAAAAGACCAAGCATGGTCCCGAGGCCCAAACGCAGGCTTGAGCGTCAAACGCGGGGGCGTGATGCTTCGACGGAAGGCTGGAAGGTGCGACGGTGACGGCACCTTGTTGAACTTGTCGATGAGCGGCTGGCGAGTGGCGATGCTCGTGGTGCCATCCATTTTCATGTAGGAGTAGCCTTCGCCCTGCACAAACTTCTCCAGGATGTCCAGCATCTGTCAGTCGGGGACGGTGACAACAGTGATCGTTTCACGACGTGTACACGTATGTATGTTGAACTTCTTTCGCGCCGTACGTAGCCAACCGTGATAATCGGAGGTGCGAGGGAAAGGACAACTAAAAACAAAACGCAGTTCTGTATGTACGGAGAACTTGACACACAAATGGCACAATCTACATGGCGCAAGCTAAGTTATTACCCGACAACGGCTACAACAGAATTTGTAACCTGGGGGTTCCAAATATCATAGAGTATTCTGACACTTGGGTGCAAAAATGCTACGGGGCTCTCACACCGGCTCCAAACCGGCCCACGGCGCTGCCGCCGGTACCTGCCGACTCTGCGTGAAGAGCAGCACGCGGTGGCCCTGCCGGCGCCACATCCGCAGCAGAGCCTCCACCACGAGCAGCTTCCCCGAGCGTCGCCAGTAGCCGAATCCAGCGCCGCGCGTGACGGCGGAGGCAGAGGAGGTGGGGTCCGCACCTCCTCCGCCGACGCTGGCGATGGTCGCGACGGAGGGCGCCAGCTCGTCGTCCTCCGCGTTCAGGCCGCCTGTCAGCAGGTCCGGATGGTTGCAGATCTTGCGCAGCGTTATGAGCGCCGAGAAGACCTGGAGAGGGGTGGTGGAGAGGTAAGTGGGGGTCGACGCTCATGGAAGGCTTTAACGGGTACGCGCGTAGGAATGCAGGCACGTACACGCCACATGTGTGATGATTTGCACACCGAATCCTGGGCGATTTTTGTGATCGTTGGATGTATGGGCGGTGTGGCGAGGCGAGGGAACGGGTTGACTCAAGTGTAGTATGGTGCCGTGCAGTGCAGTGCAGTGCGGTGCAGTGTGGTGCAGTGCGTTGCAGAGTGCCACACCTGTCTCTCCCTGCTAAGGACCTGCTGGACTTCGCGCGAGTCCAGGAATTTCTGGTAAACGGCGCGCTGCTCGTCCGTCAGCCGGCAGAATAAAACCTGGAAAACAACAACAGCAGCAGTGGTGAACAATTATACAACAGCTCGCTCATACACACACAGGCTGCTCTAGATACACATGTGCACTCTGCTCTTTGGGCCATTCTACATATAAATACAATTACAAAACAAGGGGAGCATGCCCCAGAGGATGTTCACCACGGAGGTAGTGGTGACATCAGCTAAGCATTACACCATTCAGGTTAAAGCTGTTGTGATATTACATTACCATGGGAATGAGCGAAGTGCACAGAGGCATTTACATAGCAGTGGATAGTTCATAGCTGTGACCGCTGATAATGATATTTTAAGAGAGCCTTCACCTGCTCGTTCTTATCAGGAAGCGCCAGGTTGACTTTCACGTCGGCCTTCATACGGCGGAGGAGGAAGGGCTTGATGGTGTCTCTCAGCACACAGGCACACTTGTACGCTGTCTGCACCTGACAGGCGGACACAGAAAACTCTCACTGTAAATCGCGACTGTCACGAACCCGGACGATATGAGAGCAATAATAATACATGGGTAGAATCACAACAACAACAATTTACAGCACTTTCGTCATTCCACTCCTGCCACTGTGTGCACCAGCCCCATCATCGCCCAGTGCCGATCTGTGGGTGGGGCAGCTGAACGCCACTGTCTGCCAGGTTGGTGGGGGGGGGTGTGGAAGGGGGGCAAGCGGGTGGGTGACAATTTCCCCTGGCACCCCCCCTCCCCTACAAGGTGGTGAGCAAGCTTCTCCCTACCAAACGGAACTTTCAAACAAGTTTGTTCCGCAGTTTAGACGCACAACCGCCTCGCTCGCTTCTGTTACTGCAGGAGGCCCTTGCCGAGTGACAGAAGTGACGGAGCGTTGTTCCTGGGTGGAATATATTCCCGTCCAGTACCCGATCGTTGCGGACAAGAAGCATGCAGCGAAGAACACGAATCATCTGCGGGCCGTTTTGAAGAGGTAAACCTCGCGTGGCCACGGGCCGTATGAAATGAAGTCACAGAGCATATGTGGCCCACGGGCCGTAGGTTCCGTACCTCGACGAAGGTGGGACAAGAGCGGACAATTGTCGATACGCACGCCGTTGGGAGAGGGGCGGGGGAGGTGCGCAACCAGGGGGTAGGGGCAGGGGAGGTGCGTGACCCGGGGCGCGTGGGACGAACCTGCACGTCGGAGGCGTTGGAGTAGCCGCCCTGTGTGATGGGCACCGAGAACTGCTCCATGAACACGGGCAGCGTGCCCAGCTTCCCCGGGAAGACAAAGTCGAAGAGCGACCACAGCTCCTTCAGGTTGTTCTGCACCGGGGAGCCCGACAGGATGATGCGGTGCGGCGTGCGGAACTGCGCAAGAAATAATAACGCAGTATTATTATCATCGGATGTGTTGGACGCGTGGGTTATTTCCTGATACTTGACCACGTTGGTCAGTGCGGGTTGGTGAATTAGGGCCCCGGACCATTTCAAATTTCACTCGCCACAGAGTTTTTCCATACCGCCGGTTTCTTCGTGCAGTTTGCGAACCCCTGCACTGCCCAACTAAGCAGAAAAAATTCTCCCTCCCAGCGTTGCGGCGAAATATCACAAATCTGGATCGCAAGTCAAAAAAAACACGATTCTTTCTTTTCTGGTTTTCATCATCTCATTTTTGTTCCTTCTACATTTTCGTTGTCGCCTTGTTTGTACGAGCGGGGCGGCCCGACAACGGGGGTGGGGGGGCGGAACACCCCCACCTGTTTGCACGCGACGGTGACGGCGGCGTCCGGGTTGCGGATCTTGTGCCCCTCGTCGAGGATGACGTAGTGCCACGGGTGAGCGCCCAGCGTGTCCTGCATGAGTCGCACGCACGAGTACGACGTGACGAGGACTCCGCCGCCACTCGCGAGGTCGTTCACCAGACGCTCCTGTCGCAAACACGTCACCGGGGGACACGCGTCAAGGCTCGGAGACAGCGGCGGAGCGGTGTATGGCGCGGGGCCCCGAGAAAATAATTAAATCTCTCTTCTTCTTGTCGTATGGCTAACGTAGATGCAGAACAACGATGACAAATTCTCATTCAGGTGGTCAGGCCAGATAACCGCGTCAGGAGCAGCGAAGCGTATCGCAGTGATTTCTCCTTCGTATTTGTGGTTCGGGCATTTCGTCGTTAAGTTGTTCTGCTGTCTGTTCTGGATGACCACAAACGCACACTGCAGAGAATAATTAAACAGGGCCCCCTAATCAACACCAACCCCACCCCCCACTCGTCTTCATAGCCTGGTGCCTGGTCCCCCTCTGGCCGGTAGACCGGACGCAGTTGTTTCATTGGCACTCAACGAACAATCTTTGCAGGGTACAGAGAACATTTCGCAACTAGTTACGTATCGACATCTCCTGGGGTCTGTATGTAACACAATGAACTTGCGAAAGAAACTTTCATTGCGGTCTGACCAAGTCAGTCAAGTCAATATGAATGAAGACGAACAAAAAACGCAATCGCCACCGAGAAGTGGCGACGCCAATTAATCGTGTCGACCTTCCGACACGAGGTAGTCCACCGTAATTCACGTGCAGATTCTAAGAGCTCGGTGGGCAACTGCGGTCACTCGTATGGAATGTGACGAGTGACGGCACTGGTGAAATGACACTAACAAACAGGCAAAAATATATATATACGGACTCTCGTAGGCACACGCGCATATACGCACGCACCAACTATTATACATGTCAAACTAATCTCATTCTGCCTACTGGAAAAAATTTTTATCTGCATTTCTGCACGGGTGCCAAAAAAAATCCCACTTGCGTTTAATGTCATACTTAAGGATCATTACCAGATGTTTAATTACAGGAACTAATTTGCGCTCATTCCGCAGGTTGTTAAAACAAAACACGATAACTCTGCGCATATAATAAAATCCACATTCAAATGCATGTTGTGTTTTTTTATATCCACCCCCCCTCACCCCCCACCGCGTAAGTCATTTAACGATGGATTGATACAACAAATGCGGCGGTAATCCTTGTTCTTGTTTATCTACAAACTGCAGGGTCAATGGCGGGTGGCCGTTCTTTTTGCCGCGGAAGACCGACGGAGTTCGTTAAGCCGTGGCGGCGCTCCGCACGCTGGGGCTAATTCGACCGCGCCGCTAACCCGTCAGATAACGGGCATCAATTCCCGACCAAAATTCATTTCTCCTCCGGCAAAATTAGATTCTCCTTAAAAGTAGGAAAAATAATAACGACGACGATAATAATAATAATGGCAATCTAACCGCATTTACATGCCTTCCCATTGTCGGGCGCAGGAAAAGTCTTGCGGCTTATCCTCCAAACGCGGCTTAGCCCGCACTCATTTATAAACTGACGAATGTCATTATTTCCGCTAATAGGGCTGCCAATAAGCCAGCACCTCTGCCCAAAGAATTAATTTTTGTTCCTGCCCGAGCAGATTATTGAGCCATTGTAAAAACAGGATGCAGCCCCAAAATAGGGGGGTGAGGAGCGAGGGGGCGGGGGTTATTTAAATAACCTAATAATCTTGGCCGAGTGCCGTTTCCTCCGCACTTGCAGCGGCCGCTGGAAGTTTAACGAGGCCCACGGAGCCCTCGCCCACAATGGGAGCCCCTAATTTGGAATGCGTTTTTACATCCCCGCTCACGTGAGCAGCGCGACATGGACAAGTCCATTAAGAGCACAATGGCGATGATTAGTATTCGCGTGAATTGGCGGCAGCGAGATGTTGTTTGCGAGGCTTGGTAAACAAAATAAAAAATTGCCACCGCGTAGCGCATGAAGTTCAGGTGCGCGTACTGCCATTTTGTCATTGCACTGCTGGATTGAAGTCTCCCTGCACGCCGTGGGGATATTTGACCATACTTCACCACGCCGGTCAGTGAGTGAGTGTTGGTGAAGGCAGGAAACACGGACGTGGAAGCGGAACAACATAATATACATATTATGCATGCCGCGCGCAACACCGGGGGTGGCCGTTTCCAAAGGAGTGCCCGAGTAAATCGAATAACTAAGGGCGCCACGGTGGCGAGATGTTAACCACCTCGCCTGGTAAACAGGAGGTCGCGAGTTCCACCCCAACCCCAACGCCTGCTGTATATTTGAAAATTTGCACGTCTCTCTCCCCGTGGTCGCGTGGATTTTTCTCCGGGTCCTCCGGTTTTTGCCTTCACATTTAGAAACATGCGTTTAGAGTATTTGGCTGCTATACATTTGCACAAGATAAGCCATTTAGTTGAGCTATCATTTGTGGCCGGGTCACTTCTGAAAAAGAGCTATATAGCTCAGTGGGACCTAATTTAGTAAAATAGTTTAAAAACTAACCACGAAAGAAAAGCAGTCACTCCATCGACTAAAAATCCGGCCCTCCTCACCTTCTTCTTCCCCGAATAGGAGCCGGACTCGTGCAGCACGGCCACGCGGAACTGCGGCCACCACGTGTGGAACTCGCGCACCCACTGCTGCATCACCGTGGTGGGACACACCACCAGCGACGGGCCCAGCCCCTCGTACCTACACGCAGGGCAGGGCGGCGGCAGGGGAACACGCGCAACGTTGGCACGCACTCACGGCATTAAAGCTACGCGAGTTGCATATGACATTTATATTTAATGCAAAATAGTGCACACGGTTTGAAATAAACGCGCACGTTAAGAGCCGTACAATCTGTGCGCGTGCGCGCATGCTGCTTAGAATCGTCGTGATTAGCATGCTGCGCTACATTTACGGCCACGGCAGACACCAGTGGGGACTGGTATCATAACGGGTACTGGGACTTGGGAGATATTAGTCTTTGTGTGTGTGCTTGTGTGTGTGCTTGTGTGTGTGTGTGCATGTGTGTTCGCATGCACGTTTGAACGTATGTGCGTGTGAGAAAACGCTCCAGGCTGTCCAGGCTAAACCAAACAAACGCTCCAGGCTGTGCAGTCTAAACCAGGGATCATTGTCGTTGCTCACGGCGCTCTTGAAACCCCACCCAGGCTGACTCACCGATACCCAAGACCCCGGGTTCTCAGTTTGCTGTGGCTGAGCCCGGCCAGGAAGGCGATGATCTGCACGGTTTTGCCGAGTCCCATCTCGTCCCCGAGAACACCGCCCGCCTGCTTCACGTGCAGCTCCCACAGCCACTGCACGCCCGTCTGCTGGTACCTGCGAGAGCACACGGGGTCGCGCGTCACTGAGCACTGCTCATGAGGGCCAGGGTCACGTCGGGCCAAGTCATGGTCAACCACGTTCAAGCGACCCGCGACCTCGACCATCCAACACCAGCACCGTTGTCTGTCGCACAGCAGCGGTTGGCGTCGGCAAAGGTTATTGGGACAAGAAGGCCTCCCTTAGATACCTTGCAAAGTGGACATGACGATTATTGTGGGCCTGATCACGTACGGGTATATCAGTGTCGCCACAATGTGGCAACCCTACCTCCCCCATGGGTGGGGAATTATGCATTCGTCTGATTGTGAAATGCGGTGAAGTCCAATCGTCACTCTCATCAGCGATCATTGCCCCACACGTGCAATCGGTATCTATCTGGCAACCCCAGACGCCATCAATGGGCTTCTCTAAACTGAACACGCTTTTCAAATTCCCTATGGAACAAGTAGAACAAAAAGAACAGCAAGAAAAACAACAACAAGAATCAAAAGAAGAATGAGAAAAGGTGACCGTACTGTTGACGAGTCCGGAATCGGCTATACAACACTGGGGAGGGTGGCGTCTCCGCATGGCACTCGGTGGCGATGCTCACTTGTACAGCTTCTGCCAGAGGCTTGCGGGCACCTTGAAGCCACCCTCAAACTCCACGTCACTCTCCTCAGACTCGGTCGCGGAAAGTCCCTCCTCGAGGCGCTTCTTCTTGGCGAGCAAGCGGCCACGGTGCCAGCGTCTGCCGAGAGAACGCACCGCGGACCACCGCAGTGACTGCACCGCATACCACAACGACGGCGACAAGCCCCACGCGGCAGTTGCTCTCGGCACGTACTCGTCGCGCAAGTCTCTTGAGGCTGTGGTCGCGATCAAAAAAGCGAGTCGTGACGAATTATACAGCCAAGTAGCGCAGTAGGAAAGACGCAAAGTAAAGTGTACGCACAGCCAGGCACGCCACTCAGTTGTTGTTCTCATCCCATTCCAGCGGAGTGTCCTGCCCCAGCCCCCTAAGGACATCCGCCGTGGAGATGGAAGGGTTCGTGTGCAGGATCTGGGTGGATTGTTGTACCCCATGTACTAGAGAACGGCCAACGGAAGCAGCTTTTCAGAACCACTTCTGTGGTGCCTTCGGGTAACTATGGGGGTCCCTTATCCAAGATGCCCCACCTACACAGAAATGTTTGTGACAAGGCAATGGATGATTATGACTTTGACGATTCATTGGGTGATGACGGTGGATAATAATTGATGCAACAGATCTAAATGATAGATAAATACTGATGATGCAATGGATGACGGATTGATGCAGATCAAATGAGCGCTACCCCTGCCCGCCTCACCGTACACGCTGCTTGTACTGTTCTATGTCGCCGTCGTCCGGGTGACGTTGGAAGCGCTTGCTCTGAAGCTTGGGGTACTTCTCGTCGTCGCTCTCGTCTGCCAGTGACCCGTGTCCAACTCGTCCCTTTTTTCCTCTGGGTCGTCTCACCAACACCACCGACGACAGAGCAAACGTAATTTTTTTGTTGTTGCTCATGACGCATGCATCAAATCACACGTGCAATATTCACAGTTTATGGATGTTGAATGAAAATTCTAAGTTCATGGTACATTTAAGTTAACGTTACTTGCAAGGTAATTGAGAGAAAACTGGACAAATTCCAGCCACAAGAACGAGACAAAACGTGTATGGAATTTTCGAGTAAAATCTCGACTCCAAATCACGACTCTGAATCATGACAATTCTATAAACCGCTTGGGGGGGGAGAGGGGGGTGATTCAGTGATGTGCCAGGTTGGTAATTCTAACCGTCACTTATGTGTCAGTGTGCAGCACTGCTGTTACGTCTTCACCTGCTCCTTTTCTTGGCCTTATTTTCAGACTGCAGAGAATCTTCCTCTTCTTCTTCCTCATCGTCATCATCATCGTCATCTTCCTCCCCAGCCAACCAGTCTGGATCCAACAAAGTGTCCTTGGTTGCAGAGACAGAAGCGTTGCTGTCCGAGTTTGCCCCACTCCCCTCAACACAATCTCCTGCAACCAGACCGACCATTTTCCATTGCTCTTCTGCTAGGGCAACGATTCACAAATGTATATGTTCACATTGTTTCAGATGCACAATATTGTTACAAGCCTTTGCCTTGCCGAGGACTGAGAAGGACTTTCAAGTACCTTTGGTGAGCAACCACGTGTTTATTTAACACATACACACACACCTTACCGTTCCTTATCCATTAATGGTAATGCGCAAAAATGATATGCATGCTGACCGAGTGTAAAGAGGCCCTTGCAGTGACAAGGTGAATGAGCACGCAACATTTTTTAAGATTAGTGCAGCCAAGTAAGATGCTTGCAGTGATGGCTAAACATAGTTTATGGGCCGTTTCAAAGTGGCAAGACTCAAGTGGTCATGGGCCACATGAAATCAATCTGCAGGCTGGGCTGTGGATTACCCAACCCTCTATGCAGCACACAATGTACAAAAAAAAGCATCATTGTGAACAATTTGATGCTCGTCAAATTTATGTAAAGAATCGCCGTCAACACTCGGGCCTGCAGCATGCCTCACCTGTGCCCAAGGCGCGTGCCGCGCCACCATTCTCCCCGGCCTCGAGCTGTCCCGACATCCTCCTCATCCTCCTCCTGATCCTCCGGCTCCTCCTCTCGTCGTCGTCATCCACACACCCATCTCCGCCTTCGGCCTTCCTCTTCACGCCCGGCTCACCGTCGCCAGCCGTCCGTCCGGCCCTCCCGCCGGCAGTCTTCCCAAGCGAGGGACCCGGGTCGTCGAGCGCTCGCGACGCTTTCCGCCGTCGCTTCCGCGCCTCCGCGACACGGCTCTTCCGCGTCTCCCGCAACTGGTCCTGCTCCGCCATGTAGGCCTCGAAGCCCGACATGGCGTCGCCGCTCAGCGCCAGCCTGCGCGGTTTGTCCGGCGGCGGAGGGGGTGCAGCTGCCGATGACGTCACCGCGCTCCCGTCGCTGTTCACCGCAGAGACGCGTGTGCCGAAGGGGGTCATCTGCCCCGTGCGCACCAGCATGTCCCACTCGCTCTCCTGCACGGGCATCAGGTGGCTGCCCAGGGATAATGGTGCCGAGGGTTCGTCTGTGCACGGGAGTGGGTGGATTGTTAAAGAGCGTTGGCGTTCGCTGGCGGTTTACAGGCAGCTTGCGGTGGTGAGAAACTGGAATATATTTGCGTCGATGAAACTAACATGCTCGTATATTTTTTACCACTGAAAGATATCACTGTTAAAGAAAAACTAAGCGCTATAAGAGTTGGATTAATAAAAGTAAGTGTGTTTGGGAAGGACACGAAAGCAAAAGGGATGAGGAAGGCCGATGAATGAGACTGACATTAAAATAGCCACTAATGGGAAAAATACGATGAAAAAAATGACCAATGTGGATATGAAAAATACGTGATATGAGGAACACTCTTGAAATTGAACATTAACCCAAGGCACAAGGCACAGGGATTCTGCGCTACACACCGCATCACTTTGTAGTTTTTACACTGGTTGGTAAATTTCAGTGTGCTTCATATATATAGTTTTAGGGGGGGAGGGTGGGCAGTGTCCAGAATAATAAATAAATCAGGGTGGGTTCCCATTTAGTTTGAGTTTCTTTGCTTTGCGACACAGATCATACCCCGTTCAGTCAGTTGCCTGGCTATTTTACAAGCGAGATCTGTGTTGCGGGAGCGCAGAGTAAAGAGCCCTTCAGGATTTTACCGCGTGTCATTTGGCCCGTTATCCAGCACAACGGGCGTTAAACATCGGACGGGACGCTGAACGATACGCGGCAAAAACTACATCGAGGAGTCAACTTGATAACAAGCGTGAATCAATCGCGCGCGAACACGAACCTTCTTCGACCTCCTCCATTCCAAGCTCGGCCTCCAATTGCCGAATGACGTCACTGCCCAGCATGGCCTGGAGCTTCTTCTGCTTGGCATTCAGCTTCTTGATTTGGTTCTCCTGTGAAGAACACCTCATCTCAACAAGTAGCTCCGCGCTGGCACGAGCGAAGCCAGGGGAAGGAACATTTCTATCCGTTGAGATTTTGGGAGGCCGGTATGGAGCGTGGTGTTGTATGCGGCAGGAAGCGTTGACTTTGGCGTCAAACGGGGAATATCAGTTGGTGGTAGCAAGACAAATTAGGAAGTTCTAGAGCAAGTTCAGGAGAAGTCAAATTAAAAAGATGCAGATGTATGTTGGGAAAGAGGCCAGGACACAGAAAAAAAGCTGCTGCTTGATGACTTAAATAAAAGGGTCACGTGCAGCTAAATGAAGCTGAAGATCAGACATGGTGAAGGTCGTTGAAGTTAAGGACCCACCAGTGGGTAGGACTTAAAGAGAGAGCTGAGCTTTGGTAAGGAGTCACGACCTGACAGAGACGGTGCCCTGACCTTGTTTTCCTTCTGCCGCTTGATCGAGTCGAGACGGCGCGTCAAGTCTTTGCTGGCATCCCCAGGAAAGCGAGGCTTCACTCGCGCCATCGCCTGGTCGATTTGCTTTAACGTGGAACAGCACGACCTTTAGGATAAAAAAAACACGCAGCAACGCTACTACTGACAGCCCAAACTATTAGAGGGAGGTGATGGATTGCACTTTCAAGCAGCCAAAAATTGGGCAACTGTTTAATTGCCCACTTACGCAGACAGCAGCCGCACTTCTTATGCCTTGTGCCAGTGGACTGACCTGAGGTCGTCGAGCACGGACTTGTATTCGTTGAGGGCGAGGGCCTCCTGCGCTCTCCTCTCGGCGCTCAGCTGCTGGTCCACCTGCTCCAGGACGGCGGCCTCGAGCGCATGCTGCTCATAGACGCTCACCCCCAGCCCCTGCAGCTCGCTCGGCTGAGACTGCACGGACAGCTTGGGAATGAGCTGCCGGTCGATGTGGATTCCGTGGCTCCGAGCTCCGCCGCTCTTGGGCCTCGTCGACGAATCCTCGGCCGCCTCCGCTGCTGCCGCCGCCACTGCCAAAGCCATGTCATCGGATGGCAGGAGTTCTACCGTAGGGTTCCGGGGTGGGTCTTTAAATGAGGCGCCATCGTCTGAAGGGACGAGTTGCCCATCGATGTGAATGTCCGGGCTGCAAACTCCACCGCTCTTAGGCCTCGTCGACGACTGCTCGGCCGCCTCCACTGCCACCGCCAAACTCACTGTATCCGGCGGCCAGAATTCTAGCGAAGGCTCCCCGTGCGGACCTTCGGACGAGACACCATCATCCCATGGCCCGCACGGGAGATGCCAATCGCCGACCAGGGCGGGGCGGTGTCGTGACGCCGCAGATGGGGCCAAGTTTGGAGCGGACGTGGAAACCGTGGGGTGCGGGGATGAGAGACGGCGGTGGAACCCGTCCGAGAAGAAACGCTCATTGTTTCCATCATCACCAAACTTGGCCACCAGAGCCGAGAGGCCACCGAGAAAAGCGGTGGCGTCGGTGCAGAGCGAGTCTGTCCGCAGCGGGGCGCCATTTCTGACGGGGCTGGAGTTACGCACGGAGCTCTCGACGGAACACGGCTCCGCAGGGGGTGGCGAGCGGGATTCGGTGTCCTGTGGGGATTCTACGTCTTCGGTTGGACTCTGGGACGAAGGTTCCAGCATTCTCCTGTCCTAATCGGATGCAGAAATTACTGGGGATGATGGAACCGGGACATCATCATCGCCTGACCACGCACAAGCCAAAGAGCGAGAATGTAGCATATTAACGATCAGTGCACTGAATGCAATTACAGTCGTAGTAATTATTGCTTAATACAAAGTCTAAATTCAATAATAAGCGAAACATGCTTCACAGCCATGCGACATGAGTTATAGAACATTAAAAAAGAATGGTTATAAAGTGTTTTTACATGGTTGAAATACATGAAACATAAATACTTCCAAATATTTTAACATTGACGAATGACGCGCTAATACTGTGAGATGTGTGGTTTTTTCACGACGTACTTTGGTTTCTCGAACGTTGCAAACGCTCAACAATGGGTAATGGCCAAACATCCGAATGCAGGATACTAATTAAAATGAGTTTATAAGTAAGCACTTGTTTTTTTTTCTAAAACATAATAAAGCCTTCAATGTTTTTTTTAATCTTCAAATAAGTATTCAGTATATAGTGTACACTATAGTTACAGTATAGTTAAACGCGTAGGCTTTCACGACCAATATTATTCATAATAAAAGTTTTTGGGTTTGATCGTGTAAGTATAGATGTGTCGTAACCCTCCACCACCCGACACAGCCAGTAAGGTTCGTCACGTAAACAGAACGCGCCAACTAGTTACTGTCTTAATTTGGAGCTTTCGTGACTGCAGGAATTACTCTTTGGTTCTTTCGGTAAAGTCACGTATAAAGATAAAAAAAAATATTATTTAATTTATTATTTTATCTTTATAGGTGACTTTACCGAAAGAACTGCTTCAGCTCACCGGCGTGGAGAGTAAATCCACAACATTGACAATTTTATAGTATACTTAGAACATCAGGCAGTACCAATTCACATTCAATATCTGCTCCAGTAAGTCAACGACCTACTTGCTGTACTTGCCTCAGCGTCTACCCTCGTGGTCCCCGTTAAGAGGGTGTGTCACAAAATCTCTGCGTGATCCACCACCCCTCCAAGTATTTGGTGTGACAGAGAGGGCCACCACCAAGTCCCAATATTCTGTGTGGCACTCCCCTGTACACGAAAAAGCTACGAAAGGCGCAAATGCATAAGGGGCCGTCCATAAATGACGTTACGCACCTGGGGGGGGGGGGGGGGTCAGACATTTGTGCCGATGTATGACGAGGGGGGGAGGGAGGGTTTGATGAGACGTCACATCAAAATGCGCAACTTTAAATACATATTTATTAAATAATAATTTTTATTTAAAGCTTTCGTGAATGCAGGGATTCATATTCTTGGTTCTTTCGGTAAAGTCACGTAAAAGGGAAATAATAAAATATAGTTTTTCTCCATGGGAGAATGGAGAAGCATAAATTGTGTAAATATGATTTTGGGGGGGGGGCAGAGCTTTGTGACGTCATATTTGAGGGGGGTCTAACTTTTTGTGACGCCATGTGACGAGGGGGGAGGGGGGTAAAAAATCGGCCAAAATAGCGTGACGTCATTCATGGACGGCCCCAAACGCTGCCAAGTGGCAGTGTGTCGCTTACGTAAATGTGACCGTATGACTCGCTCGTTTCAATACAATCGATAGACTTCGACACTGCGGGGTTATCGGGAGCTTGGCGACGTCTCAGCTCCCTCACCAAACCTCGCAGGATCATCCTCGTGGCACAAGCAGCTACACATGTAGCCACGGACTCCGCACTTTCAAGGGACCCCCGCGCTAAATGCTTTCAAGCTATCAATTTCGGTTCAGTGATTCTGCACTTGCTCTATTACTATAGTACTATACCGCCTTTAACCTGTATCAACGACTGGGTGTTTAACGTTAGCGATTTGTCCTATTATCTGGCTGTATATAAAATGAAAACAATACCATTACTTTCCTACCTTGCCCTGGGGTCTACAGGAAGGTCCTGGGTTCGATCCCGAACCCTGACGCTTGTATATGTGGAATGTGCGCGTCTCTCTTCCCCGTCGATGTTACTCTGCGGGTGTTTCTCGACAATGAAGAATCAACGTCAACGCGTTTAGAGTAAACCGGCTGCTGTACAGCTCCACGCGACCAGAGACACTTCGTTGAGCTTCTGAAAAGGAAGCTTCAATAGGCCCAGTGGAGCTCGCCTGCTAAAGCACAACATAGTTTAGCTTTAAAGGGGCTCTAAATGACAACAGTTACACAATGGGCATTTAATTATCCCACGCAAGGCCGCTCCTAGCACAGAAGAACCTCACAAAGCGGAATAATTCACCTCCGCTGATGCAACCAAACAGCGACCTACCACCCACACGGCCAAACTGCTGACGATTCGATCGTGAATCGTGAATGTAATCGATAATAATAGGGAGATAACGTGATGAGTTTAGCACCGGCCGATAACCACAGCAGTCATTACAATACAAAATACGTTGGGTGCTGTTATGTTGGGTGCTGTTAGCAAGCAGCGCCTATGAAGGCCGGCACTGTGGCACACGAGGGGGTGGGTGGCCAGCACCACGCCCGGCCGCCTTTGTCTCCCCAGTGGCGATGTTTACTACACACCCAGTCTACCTAGGGGAGGCCCAGGATCGATTCAGATGATCGTCATCGACGTTTGGTGCCTGTGAGCGGGAATCGAACTCGGGTGGCCAGGTTCGTAGCGCGGCGCGCTCGCCGCTCACCCGACAGCTCCCCACAGTAACAACAACAGCGCAAGCACGTGGCGCGATACACTCACACTGCCGCCCGACTAACATCCCACCTATAAACCATGGGTCACGTGACACTGTCCCATATACTTGCCCCCCCCCCCCACCTCCTTGCCCCCCCCAACCTCCTTGCCCTCCCCCCAACCTCATTGACCCCCCCTAAAACTCCTTGCCCCCCCCACCTCCTTGCCCCCCACCTCCTTGCCCCCCCAACCTCCGTGCCCCCCCTAACCTCCGTGCCCCCCCCAACCTCCTTGCCCCCCCAACCTCCTTGCCCCCCCCAACCTCCTTGCCCCCCCCAACCTCCTTGCCCCCCCCCAACCTCCTTGCCCCCCCCCCAACCTCCGTGCCCTCCCCCAACCTCCTTGCCCCCCCCAACCTCCTTGCCCCCCCCCAACCTCCTTGCCCCCCCCCCAACCTCCTTGCCCCCCCCCAACCTCCTTGCCCCCCCCAACCTCCTTGCCCCCCCCAACCTCCTTGCCCCCCCCCAACCTCCTTGCCCCCCCCAACCTCCTTGCCCCCCCCCAACCTCCTTGCCCCCACCAACCTCCTTGCCCCCCCCCAACCTCCTTGCCCCCCCCCAACCTCCTTGCCCCCCCCCCAACCTCCTTGCCCCCCCCAACCTCCTTGCCCCCCCCCCAACCTCCTTGCCCCCCCCCAACCTCCTTGCCCCCCCCAACCTCCTTGCCCCCCCCAACCTCCTTGCCCCCCCCCAACCTCCTTGCCCCCCCCCAACCTCCTTGCCCCCCCCCAACCTCCTTGCCCCCCCCCAACCTCCTTGCCCCCCCCCAACCTCCTTGCCCCCCCCCAACCTCCTTGCCCCCCCCCAACCTCCTTGCCCCCCCCCCAACCTCCTTGCCCCCCCCCACCAACCTCCTTGCCCCCCCCCACCCTCCTTGCCCACCCCCCAACCTCCTTGCCCCCCCCCAACCTCCTTGCCCCCCCCAACCTCCTGCCCCCCCCCAACCTCCCTGCCCCCCCCAACCTCCTTGCCCCCCAACACCCCCCAACCTCCTTGCACCCCCCCCCCAACCTCCTTGCCCCCCCCCCCAACCTCCTGCCCCCCCCCAACCTCCTTGCCCCCCCCAACGCCCCCCCCCCAACCTCCTTGCCCCCCCCAACCTCCTGCCCCCCCCAACCTCCTTGCCCCCCCCAACCTCCTTGCCCTCCCCCCCACACAGCCCCCCCCAGCCACGTGACCCCCTGTGAGGGACTCACGGATGCCGCCGACTCACGAACTCGCTCCCGAATCTCTTTCAGTCGCCTCCCCACCCCTCCCCACCGGAACCACGTGACGCCGGCTACCGGACACACGTGACGACCTTCGCCGCGCCCGCTTCTTGATTGGTCCACCCGCTGGGCCCCCACCTTCAACGTCACGTGAGGCGCGCGTCTCTGCTCGCTGATTGGTCGAGCGCGTCGGTGGGCAATGCGTGGGCGGGGCTACGACGAGCGACTCGACAAGGTGACGTCACGCGTCCGTGACGTCATGTAGCGGTGCTTCGTGTATTAGAAAAAAACTCGCAGCGTTTGTCAACATCACCGCGTGGTATTAAAGGGAAATACATAGAGGGGCTCCTCGACTTACGAACGAATTAGGTTCCAGAGGTCTGTTCGTAAGTCGATCTGTTCGTAAGTCCAACTTTACACCCGTCGATTCCAGACATGTTGTACGGCGTGTACAATATGTAGATGCCACTGGTTCTTCACGTTCTGCAGATGTAGATGCCACTGGTTCTTCACGTTCTGCAGATGTAGATGCCACTGGTTCTTCACGTTCTGCAGATATAGATGCCACTGGTTCTTCACGTTCTGCAGATGTAGATGCCACTGGTTCTTCACGTTCTGCAGATGTAGATGCCACTGGTTCTTACGTTCTGCAGATGTAGATGCCACTGGTTCTTCACGTTCTGCAGATGTAGATGCCACTGGTTCTTTACGTTCTGCAGATGTAGATGCCACTGGTTCTTTACGTTCTGCAGATGTAGATGCCACTGGTTCTTCACGTTCTGCAGATGTAGATGCCACTGGTTCTTCACGTTCTGCAGATGTAGATGCCACTGGTTCTTTACGTTCTGCAGATGTAGATGCCACTGGTTCTTACGTTCTGCAGATGTAGATGCCACTGGTTCTTCACGTTCTGCAGATGTAGATGCCACTGGTTCTTTACGTTCTGCAGATGTAGATGCCACTGGTTCTTCACGTTCTGCAGATGTAGATGCCACTGGTTCTTTACGTTCTGCAGATGTAGATGCCACTGGTTCTTCACGTTCTGCAGATGTAGATGCCACTGGTTCTTACGTTCTGCAGATGTAGATGCCACTGGTTCTTCACGTTCTGCAGATGTAGATGCCACTGGTTCTTCACGTTCTGCAGATGTAGATGCCACTGGTTCTTCACGTTCTGCAGATGTAGATGCCACTGGTTCTTCACGTTCTGCAGATGTAGATGCCACTGGTTCTTCACGTTCTGCAGATGTAGATGCCACTGGTTCTTCACGTTCTGCAGATGTAGATGCCACTGGTTCTTTACGTTCTGCAGATGTAGATGCCACTGGTTCTTCACGTTCTGCAGATGTAGATGCCACTGGTTCTTCACGTTCTGCAGATGTAGATGCCACTGGTTCTTTACGTTCTGCAGATGTAGATGCCACTGGTTCTTCACGTTCTGCAGATGTAGATGCCACTGGTTCTTTACGTTCTGCAGATGTAGATGCCACTGGTTCTTTACGTTCTGCAGATGTAGATGCCACTGGTTCTTCACGTTCTGCAGATGTAGATGCCACTGGTTCTTTACGTTCTGCAGATGTAGATGCCACTGGTTCTTCACGTTCTGCAGATGTAGATGCCACTGGTTCTTCACGTTCTGCAGATGTAGATGCCACTGGTTCTTCACGTTCTGCAGATGTAGATGCCACTGGTTCTTCACGTTCTGCAGATGTAGATGCCACTGGTTCTTCCGTTCTGCAGATGTAGATGCCACTGGTTCTTACGTTCTGCAGATGTAGATGCCACTGGTTCTTCACGTTCTGCAGATGTAGATGCCACTGGTTCTTCACGTTCTGCAGATGTAGATGCCACTGGTTCTTTACGTTCTGCAGATGTAGATGCCACTGGTTCTTCACGTTCTGCAGATGTAGATGCCACTGGTTCTTTACGTTCTGCAGATGTAGATGCCACTGGTTCTTCACGTTCTGCAGATGTAGATGCCACTGGTTCTTTCACGTTCTGCAGATGTAGATGCCACTGGTTCTTACGTTCTGCAGATGTAGATGCCACTGGTTCTTCACGTTCTGCAGATGTAGATGCCACTGGTTCTTCACGTTCTGCAGATGTAGATGCCACTGGTTCTTCACGTTCTGCAGATGTAGATGCCACTGGTTCTTACGTTCTGCAGATGTAGATGCCACTGGTTCTTCACGTTCTGCAGATGTAGATGCCACTGGTTCTTACGTTCTGCAGATGTAGATGCCACTGGTTCTTTACGTTCTGCAGATGTAGATGCCACTGGTTCTTCACGTTCTGCAGATGTAGATGCCACTGGTTCTTTACGTTCTGCAGATGTAGATGCCACTGGTTCTTCACGTTCTGCAGATGTAGATGCCACTGGTTCTTCACGTTCTGCAGATGTAGATGCCACTGGTTCTTCACGTTCTGCAGATGTAGATGCCACTGGTTCTTCACGTTCTGCAGATGTAGATGCCACTGGTTCTTCACGTTCTGCAGATGTAGATGCCACTGGTTCTTCACGTTCTGCAGATGTAGATGCCACTGGTTCTTCACGTTCTGCAGATGTAGATGCCACTGGTTCTTCACGTTCTGCAGATGTAGATGCCACTGGTTCTTTACGTTCTGCAGATGTAGATGCCACTGGTTCTTCACGTTCTGCAGATGTAGATGCCACTGGTTCTTCACGTTCTGCAGATGTAGATGCCACTGGTTCTTCACGTTCTGCAGATGTAGATGCCACTGGTTCTTTACGTTCTGCAGATGTAGATGCCACTGGTTCTTCACGTTCTGCAGATGTAGATGCCACTGGTTCTTCACGTTCTGCAGATGTAGATGCCACTGGTTCTTTACGTTCTGCAGATGTAGATGTCACTGGTTCTTTACGTTCTGCAGATGTAGATGCCACTGGTTCTTCACGTTCTGCAGATGTAGATGCCACTGGTTCTTTATGTTCTGCAGATGTAGATGCCACTGGTTCTTCACGTTCTGCAGATGTAGATGCCACTGGTTCTTCACGTTCTGCAGATGTAGATGCCACTGGTTCTTTACGTTCTGCAGATGTAGATGCCACTGGTTCTTCACGTTCTGCAGATGTAGATGCCACTGGTTCTTTATGTTCTGCAGATGTAGATGCCACTGGTTCTTTACGTTCTGCAGATGTAGATGTCACTGGTTCTTCACGTTCTGCAGATGTAGATGCCACTGGTTCTTTACGTTCTGCAGATATAGATGCCACTGGTTCTTCACGTTCTGCAGATGTAGATGCCACTGGTTCTTTACGTTCTGCAGATATAGATGCCACTGGTTCTTCACGTTCTGCAGATGTAGATGCCACCACCCCCATCTATTGCGCGGCGGTTGAACTTACGACTCTCGGTCCGAACAGGCAACTGGACGTACGGACAGGTTTGTTCGTATCTCTGAAAGTTCGTAAGTCGAATATTCGTAAGTAGAGGAGTCCCTGAAGAAGGCGACGATCCGGGCAATGGCCCTTCTTGAGAGCACATAACTAGAGAGGCCAGAGAGATGGAGTGGATAATACGGTTTGGAGACTGCTCTTCACACCATGTAACCTGATGATAATTCATTTTTAAATATATTCTGTGAACCAGTTTTTAATTAGGAAAATGAATAGTTATCTTTGAGTAGCAGACAAACCGTTCGATAATTATCAAAAACATGTTACTAAATATTTGTATAACGTAAATTCATAATAGGTTGCTTTGCATTATGAGTAGGGCGCCGTCCATAAATGACGTCACGCACCTAGGGGGCGAGGGGGGTCAGACATTTGTGATGATGTGTGACGAGGGGGGGAGGGGGGGTTTGAGAAATGTGACGTCACATCAAAATGCGCAACTTTAAATAAATATTAATTGAATAGAATTGTTATAACAACACAAATTTTTATTAATTTTCATTATTAACTCTTTGATTCTACACTATGGGAACCTCATTTGACAGTAAAAATATGATAATTGGTTGTTTACCCTTCAATCTGGCAACAAAACTGACACCTTTTTACAAGGAGTCATGTTTGCATAGACCGCAATACCTGCAGTCATAATACATACAAAAGACATAACTCTGATAATGTGCACTGTCCTTGAAGTTGATTGGTCCACACCCGAGACAGCTTTCAATCAACTTCAAGGACAGTGCACATTATCAGAGTTATGTCTTTTGTTTGTATTATGACTGCAGGTATTGCGGTCTATGCAAACATGACTCCTTGTAAAAAGGTGTCAGTTTTGTTGCCAGATAGAAGGGTAAACAACCAATTAACTATTTTATTATTTAAATTTACGAAGGTCACCTTTTATTTATTCCATAAAGGAGCATTTTGCTTCTCCATGGGAAAATGGAGAATCATACATTTTGTAAATTTTTGAATTATTGTTATTAAACATTTTTATTCTAATGATTCTACCAGGGCTTTTCATTCTGTGAAATAAATATGTGATTGTTATAATTGGGAAGCCATTATCAAAACGATGTTACGAAATAAACTTTTTTTTTAATTTTACCATGTAAGGCCCACTGAGCTTTATAACTCTTTTCAGAAGCGACCTGGCCACAAATGAGAGCTACATTAATTGATGATGATACCAGGCGCCCCCATTGCTTATGGATGATTGTGGAGTTGTAAAATATGATCATGACACATGCATAGGGCTATGTTTTGCTGGTATCAAGCTGATGAGAAATAATAGGTAAAGCCTATTTTCAGCACGATAATGACAATGATTATGATGTTTCAGGTGGTGAAGAATGTGATATTTTAAAATTCTTCATTCGTATTAACATGATATCATAGCCCACAATTACAGCAGACTGCTAACACACACCATTAAGCATGTAATTGATAAGAGGGGACGCGTACCCATTCATTCACTCAATTCGTTCACCAATTCATTCATCCATCCATTACATTCCAAAAATGTTCGCACTTAAACCACTCCACATCCTCCGCCCCCTCCACCCCCACGCCCCCTCCCCTCCCTCTCCCCACCC